TAATCCAGGTGATCAAATTTAGCATCACCAGGACAGGACATAAAAACATCATGCACTCTGTAACATGACACACTGAAAACTTACATCAATTCTGATGTTTTTTTTTTTTTTTTGCCAAAAATGCATAACCTCAGTCTAATCATGAGAAAACACTGGACAAAACCAAACTGAAGTCAAGGCACAGTGGCTCATGCCTGTAATCTCAGCACTTTGGGAGGCTGAGGTGGGTGGATCACCTGACGTCAGGAGTTTGAGACCAGTCTGGCCAACAAGGTTAAACCCTTTCTCTCATAAAAATACAAAAATTAGCCAGGTGCATTAGGGGGTACCTCTACTACCAGCTATTGCAGAGGCTGAGGCACGGGAATTGCTTGAACCTGGGAGGCAGAGGTTGCAGTGAGCCAAGATCAGGCCACTGCACTCCAGCCTGGGGGATAGAGGGAGACTCTGTCTCAAAACAAACAAACAAAAACTGAAGAACAATCTATAAAACAATTGACCATTACTTAGATTGGATAGTGGAACAGAATATCAAATGCATCCACTTATTTTCAACATTTTGTTTGTTTGTTTTTAATTAAGCTGCCTCCTGCACTACTGTATGTCTGGATTTTATGTTTATTTTCCCATTCAGAAAGCCTATCTTTTTAAAAAGGAATTTTAATCCATCCATGTTTATTATGATCACTGTTATATTTGGATTGAGTCCTGCAGTTTCGTTTCATATTATTTTCCCTTTTTTACATATATCAGACTTTCTACTTCAGTGTAATTCTTTCCCACCCACCTCTGATTGCATGAGTCAGGTTTTCTTCAATTCACACATTTCCCATTAAGGCTCTGAAACTTGTACAAATCTTTTCTAGTTTTCTGGTGGTAACCACCCTTCAACTGTCAGCACACATATTTAAGCTTATATTTTCTATCACATATAAAGATAGTCATTACTTATGTCTTCTTCCCAGATGAAACAAAAACATAAACATATGCTCATTCTCCCTTTCTGCTCTGCTCTTTCAATTACCTCCCATGTGAAATGTTAATTCCAGATTATTTTCACAACTATGCACTAACACATTCAGACTTTGTTTTATACATTTATGTATTCAGCACTGCTTCTTGTGTGCTCTCTTCTATTTTAGTAGTAGTAGTAGTAGTAGTAGTAGTAGTAGTATTTTGAGACAGGGTCTTGCTCTGTCACCCAGGCTGGAGTGCAGTAGTGTAATCACAGCTCACTGCAGCTTCAGTCTTCTGGGCTCAAGTGATCCTCCCACCTCAGCCTCCTGAGTAGCTGGGACTTCAGGCATGCGCCACTGCACTCAGCAATTTTAAACAAATTTTTAGTAGAGATGAGATTGCACTATGTTGTCCAGGCTGGTCTTGAACTCCTGAACCCAAGAGATCCTCCCACCTCAGCCTCCCAAAGTGCTGTGGTTACGGGCGTGAGCCACTGTGTTTGGCTACTCTCGCCTTTCTTGGATTACATTCCATTTTGCTGGAGTCAATCAACCAACTTTTTCCTCAAAGGTCTTTGAGGGATAACATTTTTGACCATTTGCAAATTTGAAACACTCTGTAAAGACGAAAAATGGTACATTCATTTCTTCAGTCTCTTCATACCTGAGGTGATATGGTTTGGCTGTGTCCCCACCCAAAGCTCATCTTCAGTTGTAGCTCCCGTAATTGCCACGTGTTGCAGGAGGAACCCAGTGAAAGAAAATTGAATCGTGGGAGTGGTTTCCCCCATACTGTCCTCATGGTAGTGAGTAAGCCTCATGAGATCTGATGGTTTTATAAGAGGTTTCCCCTTTCACTTGGCACTTTTTTCTCTCTTGCCTGCCACCATGTGAGACGTGCCTTTTGCCTTCCACCATGACTGTGAGGCCTCCCCAGTGATGTGGAACTGTGAGTCCATTAAACCTCTTTCCTTTATAAATTACCCAGTCTTAGGTATGTCTATATCAGCAGCATGAGACTAGTACCTGAGGAATATGTTCTTTCTGGCAAACATGCAGGGCAGCAAACACAAAGGCACTCTGGGGCTGTTTCTTACATCTCCCTCCTACCACCTTAACAATTCTCCAAAATATTGCCACGAGTTTTGGAAAATATAATAATGAAAGAAGGGTTTCCTCCCATCACCGTGTTGCGAGCTCTCTGGCAAAACCACAAATCCCAGAAAATCCCTTCTCAGACACCTTCCAGAACTCATGTCTTTAAGGTTCATGGTAGGAGGCTTCCCGTGAGCGAACGTCCCTGATGAAGACTCTGTCTGTCCTTCATTCTCTCTCAATTCCCCCAGTCCTCTGAATATGTGGCTTTTCATGTCCCAGCATGGGATGATGGACAGATCAGGGCAGATGGTTTGAGTAAGACTCCTACTTCACCTACCTCATGTTTCTTATGCATTCATTTAACACCTTTTATTTTGTCAGCATTTTTATTTTTAATTGACAAATAATATGTATATATATGTATATGTATGTGTGTGTGTGTATGTGTGTATATATATGGTGTATCATGGAATGCTTTGATATATGTTCACAATGTGGAATGATTACATCAGGCAAGTTAATAAATTTATCCCCTCCTAGGAGCAATAAGTTTAATGATCTACTGCACAGAATGGTGACCATATAAGTAATAATGCATGATATATTTTAATGACCACTTCTTCCTAATCTAAGTTCTGGGTTAAGAAAATTCAACCTCAGTGTTTCTTGTAATAAAATAAAATTACTATCATCTTAAAGTGCTGTTCCAGCCTCTTGTAAGTGTTGTAGCATGTTTATCTATTTAATCTTTGCAACAACTCTATGCAGAGCTTGCTATTGTGGTCATTTTAAAGTTGAGACATTGCACTACAGAGAAGTTAAGTGACACTTATTTTTCCCTAGCCAATAAATAGAAAGAACTTGAAAAGCAGACATTCAGTTTTAGAGTCTGCATGTTTTGCCACCATTTTTTGTTTCTCTAAAAATGCTGAATTGTGGAGGACAGATTGGCTACTTTGACTCAAATCCCCTGGATTAACATAAAACAAACCGAGTCTTTTCCTCATGGCCATTTCCTTCCAATGGCTCAAGAAAACATCAATGACAAGTCTCTAGCATGAACACCTGTGGCATGCTTGAACGCATTGACCGAGTAGTTGAGAAATATTTGTCTAGCGCCTCCTAGTGGCACATTAGTGAAGTGGAGACATAATTAATTGGTTCATTCAGGTCAAAGTCTGCAATGTGGCTACAATGTAAAAAGGAATAAGAAATAGCAGAATCGGGGCAGGTGCGGTGGCTCACGACTGTAATCCCAGCACTTTGGGAGGCCGAGGCGGGTGGATCACCTGAGGTCAGGAGTTCGAGACCAGCCTGGCCAACATAGCGAAACCCCATCTCTACTAAAAATACAAAAAATTAGTGGGGTGTGGTGGTGGGCACCAGTAATCCCAGCTACACGGGAGGCTGAGGCAGGAGAATCGCTTGAACCTGGGAGGCAGAGGTTGCAGTGTGCCGAGATCGCACCACTACAGAATTGAATAAAGAGAAAATGATGGATTTTCGGGTGATGTAGGGACCTGCTAGCTGCTCCCTCTTTCTCTCTCTCTACACACACACACACAAACATACACACACACGCACACACAATTTGAGAACAGCATTAAAGACAAGTAATACAGGGGAGCTCTGAGTGAAATAAGTAATCTTCAAACTTAAAAAATTGCAGAAGATGTTGTTATTGCATTTGTTTGTTAGGTTGTTTTTTGGGGTTTTGCTTTGTTTTTGAGAAAAGATCTCCCACTGCACTCCAGCCTGGGCAACAGAGCGAGATTCCATCTCAAAAAATAAAAATAAAAAATTAATTATGGTAAAATGACACATAACAAAATGTACCATTTTAAATCATGTTTAAGTGCACAGGTTAGTGATATTAAGAACATTCACTGTTGCTGGCGCAGTGGCTCATGCCTGTCATCCCAGCACTTTGGGAGGCTGATGCAGGCGGATGGCTTGAGGTCAGGAGTTTGAGACCAGCCTCATCAACATGGTGAAATCCTGTATCTACTAAAAATACAAAAATTAGCTGGGTGTCGTGGTGTGTGCCTATAATTCCAGCTACTCGGGAGGCTGAGACAGGAGAATTACTTGAACCCAGGAGGCAGAGATTGCCGTGAGTTGAGATCACACTACTGCACTCCAGCCTGGATGACAGAGTGAGACTCTATCTCAAAATATAAAGTATAATAAAATAAAATAAAGAACATTCATTGTTGGCCACATGTGGTGGCTCACACCTATAATCCTAGCACTTTGGGAGGCCAAGGCAGGAAGATTGCTTGAGCCCAGGAATGGTGAGAAGAAGAAACAGAAGCAGACAGAGGACCAGTTAAAACATGGAAGCCGCTTTCCATAAGATATGCCCACCAGCATACCATATCAGTTTACCATTGCCATGGCAATACATGGGAGTTACTGCCCCCTTCTATGGCAATGACTTGAGCACTCAGAAGTTGCCACCCTTTTCCTAGAAATTTCTGCATAAACTGCCCATTAATCTGCATGTGATTAAAAGTGGGTATAAATATGACTGCAGCAGTGCCCTGGGCTCCTGCTCTCTGCAGGAGCAGTCACAGAACTGTGATGCTACCTTCTCCATAAAGCTGTTTCTTCCACCACTGGCTTACTCTTGAATTCTTTCCTGAGGGAAGCCAAGAACCCTCCCAGGCTAAGCCCCAATTTGAGGCTCACCTGCTCTGCATCCATCTGTGATCTTTTCTTTGTCTTTCGTAGTCTGCAGTCACAGATGCTTCAAATTTTGGATTTATGTTTGTTTATCCTGCTTAGAATTACTTCCTATGTGTATTGCCAAATGCCTTCCTTCAATTAAATAATTGTTTTAGTCATGTTTCTTTATTTTTTCTTAAATGTTGACTCTTCACCATTTTTCTTATTTTGTGTTTGAGGAATCATAATTAACTGCAATTGATGATGCTTACATTTGTAATAATAATATTTATTGACTGCTTATTCTATACAAGGCGATTTCACATTAACTAATGCATATAATCCTCATAGCTACTCTGTGAAGTAGACACTGGTTTTCTCATTTTACACATGAAGAAACCAAATCACAGAGATGATACAGCTACCAGGAAGCAAAGTCAAGAACTTCAGCCCAGTATTTTTTCTCATAACCAGATGTGTATTGGACAGGAAGAGAAAAGAAAGAAAGAGAGAAAATCAAGAAGTCAATCTGACTATAATAGTACTACTTCAAATTTTATGTGACCCTCTGCTTCATGAAAAAATTAAGTACTTATCATGATTTATTAGAAAGCTAGCATGCCTGGGTATAGAATCTGCAAGCAGAAGTTTCTAACTTATGACATTGGACCTGATGCTTCCATGAATTCTAGGAACAAAAAGCTCTACAAGATTCTGCTGAAGTCACCTTGATCTGCTCTTTCCCTTGGGCAATGGCACAATTATATACTAGAAAAAAATTGTACAACAAATGCTCCCCTCCAGGTTCACTGTTATATATGGACCCACTTTAATTTCACTGAGCTCTTGAAAGAACTGATTTCTGAGGATAAAACAGTGGGTGAGGCCATCAGTTTTTATCCCAAATGGAATGAATCAGTCAGGTGAGCTCTGCTCCTATGACCATTGTAACAGTAAGTTTGTGGTGGGTAACACATGGTCCCCATGATCTCAGGGAGCTGTGGGAAGGATGTCATCTTCCTTGTCACACCCACAGAAGGGGAAGGTCCCACAGCATGGCTGCAGCCATGGTTTCCAAATTGTGTTGAACACAGAGAACTGCTGTGGGACAGGTGTTAGTGTCCTACGATGCTCTTTTATGGCTGCCTCCATCTTCTTGATCACGGAGTCAAATAATGGTTCATTGTCAGGGTTCAGTGGAAAGGCTTCTGAAGGGTCTCTTGAGATGTCAAAGAGGAGTGGTGGGTCGTGGTAGGTTACATCCCCTGAACATGAACATATTCCACTCCCATAGCAGGCACCAGTTCCTTCAGGGTAGAATTTGGGAGTCACATAATGAGCTTTCCACACAGTTGCACCTAAAAAGTAAGTTGCATTATGATACCATCTTGGTGGTGATTTTAGGACTATTTTCATTAAAGATGTTTTTCTCAAATGCTTTTTCTAGTGATTGATAATACTCTTCTGCACAAAATTACACAGCAACAGTAGCATGTCTTCGACTCTAAGAACAATGTACAATTTTACTGCAAACTTGAAGACATTTTTAGAAATCTTGTCATGAGAACATTTGGAGATAACAATGACGACCCAGGTGGGAATAGGGTAATTCTGGGAATACCAAATTAAAATTCTACCTCAATCTGATTAGGTACAAACAAAATTAAAAGTGATCCAAGGCTAAATACCACTTTCATATCTGAAATTGACAAAAGTAATTTGGCAAAATTAATCATTCTTTATCCTTTTCTCCTTCCCTCTTCTGTCTTTTCCTTCCTCCTCTTCCCTTCCTCCCTCCCTTTCTCGCTTCTTTCCTTCCTTCCTTCTTTCCTCCATTTCTTTTTTCTTCCTTCCTTTCTTTCTTTCCCTCCTTCCTTCCCTCCCTCCCTCGCTCCCTCCTTTCCTCCTTTCTTTCCTTCCCTTCCTTCCTTCCTTCCATCCTTTCTTCCTTCCTTTCCTTCCTCTCTCCCTCCCTCCCTTTCTTCTTTCTTCTGATATGAAATGGTTAGCAAATCTATTTTCAGAGATCAAATTTTTTTTATGTTTTATTATTTACTTATTTATTTATTTTGAGGTAAGCTCTCTCTCTCTCGCCCAGGCTGGAGTGCAGTGGCAGCATCTAGGCTCACTGCAACCTCTGCCTCTTGGGTTCAAGTGATTCTCCCACCTCAGTCTCCCTAGTAGCTGGGGTGCCACCCTGCCTGGCTGCAGTGATCAATTTTAGATAGAAAACATAAGCATTGCCCAGCCTCTGGTCAATGAGGATTTTACCAAAGTCTACTGGTGGAGTCTTGCAGAGAAGCTGTGCTTTCCTACTAAAATAGGATTAAATCATCTAACTGGATTCTTTACCGCCTTTGGTTTTTTCCCTCCTTACTGCATGGAGTGCAGGTGTGATGCCTGGAGGAACTGCAGCCACTTTGCAACCATGGGGTGAGACGCATAAGAATGAAAGCTAGTGTGTCAGAGGTGGCTAAGTGGAAACAAGAATCCTGGTCCCATGACCGTGGTACTGAGCACTGTGTCAGCCCCATGCTCCCAACTTCTGGAATTATGGTGAGAAAAAATAATAACAAAAAAATTCTACTGTATAATCCTCTATAGTTAAATTTGGGAGGCTTATGATGTTTACGGGGCTGTTTTATTTATCATTGATCATGTCCTGCACTCATATAGAATCTTAAAAACATAGGTTTTTACTTATTTTTGTTTTTGTAATTGTTTTATGTAGGACTATCTGCATCAAAATGAAGATACATCACACCACAAGTGACTGATCCCATCAGAGAAAATTCCTCCTGCAAATAAAGTTAAATCCAACCAAGTAAGAATTCTGGAATTCCATGCAATGACTCCAGAAGACCTTTCTTTACAGGTGTAAGGCAATCAATACTATTTGTTAATTTATATTTGTTTGTATTGACTCCCATAGCGTGAATGTGGGACAGAAACAATCACTAGGATGTTAGAAAGGAAGGAAGGTGGAGAGAGGCAACCACCATGCAGGCCACGTTGAAAAATGTACTTCTCGTTGCTAGAATAATTACTTCAGTCATCCCTAAGTTGTGGGTATTCATAGTCTCTGTTTATCTCTTGTTCTCTCTCTCATGTATACATTCACACAGGCTAATGCATACTTACACATACACATTAATCATGTTTTCTTAATTTTCTGTATCCTATAATGTTTTGACTTTTTTTTTTTTTTTTTTTTTTTTTGAGGCAGGGTCTCACTTTGTCACCCAGGCTGGAGTACAGTGGCACGATCACTGCCAACTGCAGCCTCAGACTTCCCACTCAGCCTCCTGAGTAGCTGGACTACGGTTGTATGCCACCATTCCTGGCTATTTCTTTTTTTTTTTTTTTTTTCTTTGTAGAGACAGGGTCTTGCAATGTTGCCCAGGCTGATATCAAACTCCTGGGCTCAAATAATCCTCCTACCTTGCCCTCCTAAACTGCTGAGATTACAGCTGTAAGCCACTGTGCCGGGCTAGTATTTTGACAGCTTGAGGGGCCTGATAGACTCAGGGAAAGACTACTCCTCCCAGGGCTAGCTGATTCCTAAAAATAATGATATGGTTTGGCTCTGTCCCCACCTTAATCTCACCTTGAATTGCAATAATCCCCACAGGTCAAGGGCAGAGCCAGGCAGAGATCATTGAATATGGGGGCAGTTTCTGCCATACTGTTCCCATGGTAAGGAATACGTCTCACGAGTTCTGATGGTTTTATAAGGCATTTCCCTTTTCACTTGGCTCTCATTCTCTCTTGCTTTCCACATGTAAGATGTGCCTTCTGCCATGATTGCGAGGCCTCCCCAGCCATGTGGAACTGTGAGTCCATTAAATCTCTTTTTCCTTTATGAATTACCCAGTCTTGAGTATGTCTTTATCAGCAGCATGAGAATGGACTAATACAAATAGTAACAACTCACTTACGAACACACCCTTCCTATGCAAGCAACCACCTCCTTTACCTAACTCTCACACAGTAAGCTGATATTTGATCTGGCCTAAATCAACCAAGCACTGGGTACCAGGCAGCTAGGGACAGTCCCTGTTGCTCCAAACTTACTGTAATTACTCAAACTACCAGTCTGAAGCTGTTCACCCTGCCCTGCCTGAAACCCTAATAATAAAGGCTGCGGCCTGGGCTCTTCATTCCTTCCTGCCTGTGCTTCCAAGTCAAGCCCTGGTGCTTCCCACCGTGAACCTGTGTGGTAGGGTATAGCCCCTTCTCTCGGAAAATCTAAGTCATGAAAATATTGCAATGGCATTGGTCTGTCTGTGTCAACACTCACCTCCCTAAGCTAAAACGCTTTGGGTGGATTGGCTGTGGTGGGTCACACCTGTGGGAGGCCGAGGAGAGAAGATTGCTTGAGCTCAGGAGTTCGAGACCAGCCTGGGCCACATAGTAAGATCTCATCTTTATTTTATAAATATTTTTAAAATTTAAAATGAAACCCTTTGGGCACAAATCTCTCTCACAAACACATCCCCCTAAAATCCTACTGCAGGCCAGGCACAGTGGCTCACGCCTGTCATCCCAGCACTTTGGGAGGCCGAGGTGGGCAGATCACCTGAGGTCTGGAGTTCAAGATCAGCCTGGCCCACATGGTGAAACCGCATCTCTACTAAAAGTACAAAAATTTACAAAACACTAGCCAGGAGAGGTGGCGGGCGCCTGTAGTCCCAGCTACTCGGAAGGCTGAGGCAGGAGAATGGCGTAAACCCGGGAGACGGAGCTTGCAGTGAGCTGAGATCCGGCCACTGCACTCCAGCCTGGGTGACAGAGCGAGACTCCGTCTCAAAAAATAAAAAATAAAAATT